TCCAAATGATGCACTAACATTCTAAAACTTGGTCCAGACATCGCATAAAAGGGACAGTCCTTTGGTGGTCCAGATGTGGTTTGCTAGAGGTGGTGGGTCAAATTAACCAAACCATAACCAGGCCAGTAGTAGCAATGACAGATTTGGCCCACATAAACTAAACCACAACCGGGCCAGTAGTGGCAATGACGGATTTGAGCCACATAAACCGAACCACAACCAGGCCAGTTGTGGCAATGACAGATTTGAGCCACATAAACCAAACCACAACCAAGCCAGTTGTGGCAAAAACAGATTTGGGCCACATAAACCGAACCACAACCAAGCCAGTTGTGGCAAAAAAAGATTTGGGCCACATAAACCAAACCACAACCAGGCCAGTAGCGGCAGAGACAGATTTGAGCCGCATAAACCAAACCACAACTGGGCCAGTAGCAGCAATGATCGATTTGGGCCACATAAACCAAACCACAACCAGGCCAGTAGCGGCAGAGACTGATTTGAGCCACATAAAGCAAACCACAACTGGGCCAGTAGTAGCAATGATAGATTTCGGCTACATAACCAAACCACAACCAAGCCAGTTGTGGCAAAAAACAGATTTGGGCCACATAATCCAAACCATAACTGGGCCAGTAGTAGCAATGACAGATTTGGACCACATAAACCAAACCACAACAGGCCCAGTAGCAACAATGACAGATTTGGGCCACATAAACCAAACCACAACTGGGCCAGTAGTAGCAATGACAGATTTGGGCCACATAAACCAAACCACAACTGGGCCAGTAGTAGCAATGACAAATTTGGGCCACATAAACCAAACTACAACTGGGCCAGTAGTAGCAATGACAGATTTGGGCCACATAAACCAAACTACAACTGAGCCAGTAGTGGCAATGACAGATTTGGGCCACATAAACCAAACTACAACTGGGCCAGTAGTAGCAATGACAGATTTTTAGTCATATGAACCAAACCATGATTGGACCAGTTATGGCATGCCATCTTTAAAAACAGTGCCAGCTTGACACCATGTCTGGCCCACACCTGTCTGTGGGAAGCTCTCACGGAGCTGATGGTCCCGGAGTCCACTGTTCAGATATAAGGTCTTGTCCGTGGACAGTTCTTTGGTCCTGGTGGACAGGTGGGCTTCACACACCTGAGATGAGACCAGGAGTGGCTGAAAGGGATTATAATCTGTGTGCCACATAGGAAGCTTGAAATTATAATTTCTCACCAATGATTGAAAACTTTTGTGTATTTTTATGAATTTTTTGTTGATATTTTTAATTCTTCTATTAAAATTAAACAAATACAAACATTAGAGAGTGGGTAAATTCACTAAATCAGCAGGGAAAACACTGATGAAGTTTAGAGCTCTGCAGGGTAAACACGTGTTTTGTAAACAACAACAACAACAATAAAAATGATCAAACTCACCTAGAAGCCCGACAATAAACAGCTTCAGTGCGATGAGCTCATTAGTATCCATCACGCAGACAGAGTCCAGTCTTAAAGGGAAGGAAAAGCTCTCAGCGGGAGAAAAACGCGCTCCTGAACCGAACCATGACGGATCCGATCCAAAGGTTCCGTCGTTCAAACAAATAAACGAGCGAAACGCGGAGAAACCCGAAGCCCGAGCAGCTCCGAGACGGTCTGAGATCCGTCAGGAGTCTCAGGTCCGATTCTGCGTCCTCACTGGGGGGAGGGAGGGAGAGAGGAGGGGGTAGGGGTCTCCTCCTCCTCTTCCTCCTCATCATCATCATCATCATCTTAAGCTATCAGCATCAAGCAAAAAAAAAAAAAATCCAATAAGTCACACCCGTTCAATAAAGAATCAGTAACAAGAAATCTGTGCTCATAAAGTCTTAATTAGAGTTTTAATTTAATAATAAATCAAGCAGTTAAAACTGATCTGAGGATTAATTTTAATATCATGTAAAATACGTAATAAAGTAGCTGAAATAATTAAGTAATTAAAGCTTCAATCCATAACTTTATTATAATAAACCTGATATTTTAAGTGAGACAACAGGGACATCTAGTGGTCAGAGGAGGAACTACACCTAACCAAAACATTAAAAAAATCTGTTTTCACATAAAACATAATGCATTCAGCTCAAATATAAATAAAGACACATTTGGGGTGTTTATAAATCATCACTAAGTCTAATTATGTCATTCATTAAGCTTAATTTACACTCAAAGAAATAAGGATTTTTGCAGTTTAATAAATGCACGACACAAAYCGAGTTTAAAAATTAAAATAAACTTTGGCAACAATTACAACTTTGGTGTTGTCGGCCTATCTGTTCGCGAAATATCTCATGAACTAGTGAACAGGTTTTAAATAAACTTTCAGTGAACAAAAACTATAATTAAAAATACCAAAACTGAAAAAA